AGGCCTTCACTGTGGTGCGTAAGGGTCACCGTTCGCTTCTCGCAGCCGGCGAACTTAATTTTATTTGATCTAGTTTTTTTTTTATTGAAATAGAAATTAAACATGTCTAAATGAACTAGTATTAAACTAGTACGAAGCTAATGCATAATAGGACAATTGTCAGCTCGTAGAACATCGCCGTGTTAAAAATACCAGTTACTTACATGGAAAATGGATGAAGATGAACTAGTTGGCTTAAAAATGTAAACTAGTTGAATTCTAGTTGACAATTAGTATTTTCCCTCGCAGGGATTTTTTAAAAGCATATATATATGTATTTCAGCTTTTTATTAGCATTGAAGTTGTTTTATTTGCGTGTATAATACTGCCAGCCAAGACTTTCCACTATCCCTTTAAATTCCAAAAATTTAAGATCACATTCATAACTTTTTGAGTACTTCACCCATTCAGTTACAATTTTTATATTTAAATTGACAATTTCTTTAATTTTTTTAGTTTTCGTTGAAAAATTACTTTATCGTATTGTGAAGAAATGGTTCATCAAATAGTTTGAAAAGTCTTACAGTATAAATTTAAAGGTAAGCACAGTGTTGTAAATTAACATGGTGTACATACACATTTTCATACTTCAACTAATGTTTTGTTGATTTCCAGACTCATATTAAAGGGTTTGGATCGTGGTTTCAATAAAACTGGAAAATTTTAAGGTCGCTACGAAGCTACATTGCCAAGTGAGTTAAAGTGAAAGTAATTAATAATATATATATATGCAATGCAACGATATTGAAACAACATTGAATTAGATCTGCAATATTAAAATTCTGGGTATCAAATACTAAATCTTAATTTTCTTTTAATTTTAGATTCCGCAGGTTTTTCCAATCTGCAAAATAATAAATTTAAGTTGCAAGTTAATGCACAAAATTTATTTTATTTCAGGCAAGGTATAAAGTTTTTTGTGCAAATTTGAACTTCTAGTCAGAAAATGAAACTGAGGGGCGTGGTTTGAAATGTGAGCACTTTGTTTTTGCATATTGTAGTAATTATTTGAATTTTAGCTGATGAACAAAGGAATAAGTGAGAGGGAATAATTTCTGGTGGCGTGCATTTTTGTTTTTGTAAATTCAAAAAAGAAAAATCTTCAAATTTTTTTTCTTCTAAAAAAAAAAACAAAGTGTACAGAAATTTAAAAATTTTTTTATGTAGTTTTATGAGTGCCTGGTGCATGATTTTTGTCAGAAATTGCAAAATTTCAAATAGTTAAAAAAAATATTTCTTTATTATATCATTATTTCGAAGAAATGACGGTGGTTGGCATCCCACAACACAAGGAAATTTTATTTTCGTTTTTTGTTTTTAATTTTCATAAATTTTAAAGTAATTAAATTTTTGATTATTAAATTTCCTTTTTTGGTTAAGCTATTTCTATTTTTAAATTATGTGCATTAATTATTATACATATATATATGTATATAATTGGCACTTTGTGGTTTTGTCTTGATGTGTTCCCAACAAATGGAGGGAACTACAGTTTATACTACGCCGCCTCCGAACAGCTGATGATTTTTTATGACATTCCCTGCCGAGGAGCTACCGCAATTAGTAAATTTAATTAGATTTTTTATTAAAATTAATTTTCTATAAGTTTTTGGATGTTAGCACGACACCAGGATTTAAACCCGATCCTTCTGAGTGGCAGTACGTAATGGTAACCACTCGGCCACTGCGTCCGCCATTTCATTACTAAGCAACATTTTTGTCAATATATGAAGAATTATTTTTTTTTCCATATTCATACATTCTGCGCAGAGAACATAAATACAACATTCACTATTAGATAATACAGAAATTTGGAAAAGATGTAAAATACATTAATGAAATTCATCCTTTCATCCCTATTCCAAAAAAAATATTAATATTTTGGAAATAAGATTTTCGTTTATATTGATAACAAGTCTACAAATTTATACGTTCTCTAGACCAGTCCCTGCGAGGTGGGGTGAATTCCCCCGAGATATGGTGAGAGAACAATTAACATTTGCGCCTTCTTATTATATTAACATTTTCTATTTTGTGGCTTCTGATATTGGAGCAAATTCAGTAAATAACCACAAATGTTAAAAAAATACTGTAGACGGCGCTGAAAGTCAAGACAAAACACTTAAGAATTTACGGTATGTGAGGCAAAATCTGTTCCTGGTTTGTGTCCGTGATATTAAAAGTGGCGTAGACCTTCACCGGAACATAATTTAGGCTTTATTTTATTTTCACAAAAGTTTTTTTTATTACATAATATTATCTGCTTACAATTCAGGTAAATTGCTTAAATCGAAAATACACAAACCAAAGTCGGGATGGCAAAAGTTTGAGCAACATTGCTCGTGGCTTGTACAACTCTCCATTGATATGTTGGGAATACAGGCAGCTGACCCCTGAAATAGTGAAAGAAAACAAAAAATGTCAATTTCTACGTATAATCATCCTGAAACTAGTGTCTACGATTTCGCTTCATATAATTCTAGGCATAAAAATTTCAGTATTTAGCTGTACTCTTCTCTTCACTTTCTCTTGAAATTGCTGTCAAAGGGTTTGAGTGTTGTCGAAAGAGTTTGGCGACTTCAATTGCCGGGTGGGCAAGGAAGGTATCTTCGGCTCAACAGTCGGAAAATTCAGCCTCCACGACGAAACATCCCCAAATGGGTGGAGGCTTATTGACTTCGCTTAGATCCGAAATATGGTTGGCTGTAGCACTAAATTCCAGCACCAGAAAATTTACCAAGCTACTTGGCTGTATCTAGATCGAAAAACTCTCAACCTGATCGCTCATGTTGTTTTAGACGTAAGACATGTCTTCATTGTTTTAGATGTGCGTACGTTGCGAGTTCCTAACATCCATGCGGAAAACTATCTTGTCAAAGCGAAGGTACGTACGCGCCTCTGTGGACCGAAGCACGCTAGTCAACAAGCACAAGGAAGGCTCGATGCTGAAAAACTGCAATCATAACAGACTACCGAACAATCTTCTACTCGACTTGCACACCTGCTCTCTGAGAGCACTCATCAGGAACCCGGCATAAGGAAACTGTGGGACGGCATTTCGAACTCCCTACCTACAGTTGCAACCGAAATTATTGGATTTCGAAAAGATCGCAAAAAAGCTGGTCCGATGAGAATTGCCGTGTCGCGGTGGAGAGAAAACAGACTGTCTACCTCGCAATCTTGTTATCGACCACAACACGTGCGAAATGGGATAGATACCGAGAGCTGAAGAGGGGAACAAGACAAATTTGCAGGGAAAAGAGAGATGCCGAAATTCGTAAGTATGAAGAGCTTGAGAAGCTGGCCGACAAGGCGAAAAGATACGACGGCTTACGGAAGGTTTCAAGACCGGAGCAAACTCTCGTTGGACCCAGAGAATCGAGCTAGTGAGCAGCTAGTCAACCATTGCCATCCACCCTTGATGTACACCATACGAAGCGATACACTTCGACAGAACAGTAAGGGGTTGCCTCTCTACCGTTATGTGTGAATTTGGTATCCCCGCAAAACTTATACGGCTGTGTAAACTAACCCTAGACAACATTAAACGCATACAGCTGCTGACGACTAATTAGAAACGCACTTTTCTTGTAAGTGCTTGTTGAGCATAATACGTGTTGGCAAGCAACATCAGTGATGCAAAATTGGTGAGTCATTATTTTTTCTGATAAAATATTTGCGCTTCTAATTAGATGTCGCACTGATCTCAGGGTTTCACATGAATGAATTTTGGATAAATTTCTTAGAATATCATTTTAAGCATTTTTGTATGTGTTTAAAAAAAATTAGAAAACAAATTTTGAAAATGCGTGCTTTAATGGGCGGAAAGATCATTCAATTTAAAATAAGCATCGTTTCTAATTAGCTGCCAACAGCTGTAGTTAAGCGAGTGAGAGACAGCGGCTACGTTGTCTACGTCAAGTCCTCTGAATGGATGAAAGCACTCCAACTTTGAAAACATTCGACGCTGTACCCGTTGGTGAAAGATCTCCACTTCGTTGGAAGGATCAGGTGGAGCGTGACCTGGCTTCACTTGATATTGCCACCAATGCCAAAATGCGAAAAGAAGAGGTGAATAGCACGCTAGTATTGATTCGGTTACGATCGCGTAAGCGATACCAACACCAATAAAGAAGAATAAGAGAAATTCTGTAAGCCTTCAGGGTGTCGATGTAGCATCTAACAAGTGCCCACAAATTTTGCTTGGATCGTTTTGTGAGCTGCTTTCGATTCTGTGATCGAATCGAAAGTTATCGAAGGACTTTGCGCTTTCTATGAAGAAAGCATTGCTGTGGAGTTGTGTGGCAAGTCACTAAGCGATGAAGCAATGAAGCATAGAAGTCTCAAAATTATAAGCAAACATCATTGGGGATACTCGTCTATTTTTTTTATTATTTGTTTGACGCCAGCCGTTCGGAGGCGTCTTAATATAAACTATGGGTATCTCCATTAGTTGGGAAAAACATTAAGACACATACCTCAATGGAGAGAGCAGATCGGCCAAATTTCCCTTCAGCACGAATTGGTTGACACTAGTTTTCACTATTTGATCAGGCTAAAAAATGAAGTGTTTAAACTCCCTCGGCACTTTTCGGATGCAATTGGTTTCCAAAAAAGAACAATAATAATCTAAGCAACAACAAGAAGACTGAGTGTTTATAATAATACTCTATACGTTGTCCAAATTTATTAGCATTTATCTATACCAAATGTTGGTTTGACCCCAATTTGAACTCCTCGGAGCACACATTTTAGCTACTCGACTACTGCGACCATCTTAACACGATATTAATTATAATTAAAGAATAAAGAAAGATATGTATGTGCTTACTCCTTTGTTTTCCACACAAAAAACGAATGTTACTTCGAAAACGGCCAAAATCAACAAACCCGAAAGTATTTCTTTGATTGTGAACATTTTTCCGAAACGAAATCTTTGAAATAACTGAGCAACTTAATTCATTTACTGCTTACTTTTATGTAGAAATAAAAAGTATATATGTATATATTGTTACATTATGTGCTGCGACATGAAATGTCCATTTACTCCGCTTATTATAATTGCTTTAGCACATGTACGAGTGTTCAACACGCAGCACTAAATGCTGGCTTCCAGTCCATCATGGACGCGCAGGATTTAATATGTCAACAAATAAAAGGATTGCCTATAAGGTAAATTTTGCTCAAATACAGACGTAAATTTAAACTTTCGTCACTGTTGCGACACACAATTTATAGTTTAAATTTAATGCTCCTCAATATCGGATATTTCTCGCCAGCACATTGGCCACGAAAATCGTCGAGTGTCAAGTCGAATAAAGCAACGCCGCCTAAGCTCTTCGCGAACACGTAGCTGGATTTAATGGCTGCCGTACTAGGCTCTTCGTAACCAACCCATAAACCATAAAGTCCGTTATCATCAGCTGATCGATACGCATAACTACCATAACGCTGTCGAGGATCACCAACTTTTCGTAGCGGAGCATCTTCGCCTTCCAATTCCTTGTCACGTTGAATTTTTTCACAAATCTCTGGCCAACTCATCAATCCGGGCACCCGAATTTGGTTACCAGCTGCACCCGGACCGCGTGTGTTTATTACGGGTGGGAAACCAGTTATGCCGGAATCGCACGTCATTACCCACGAACGTCCATAGGCCGGTACACCAATGTTAATTTTATTGCTCGGCGCAGTGTTATTCAGCCAATACGTTACTTGATAGTCAATGTTATGGCTAGGATCGCGATCGGGCATTTCGTATAAGGGCGCAGTATGGTCTGCCACTTTGGGATCACGCTCGGGCGTTTGAAAATCATAACTACCAAGATTGACGAAATCCACAGCTGGTATTACGCGAGGAATATCTATGAAAACTGTAAAATAAAATAATAAGATATTTTATATATGTACTATATATGTGTATATAATTTCCCAGTGGGAAACTAATGAAAACTTACGGCTTGCGTCCACATGTGGTAGCATTGTTAATGTCAAAATGAGGCCATCAGTACGGAAAGCGTCCTTCAACTCGCGTGTCAAAGTTGCGAATTGTGTTTTGTGCTCTTCAGCATTTTCATCGACGACTTTTGTGCCCGTAAAGAAACTTTTGATATAATGCCAAGCCTTCTTGATTTTACCCTCCACCACTTTGGGATGATTTTTTGGGAATTGCCAAGCCAAGTCCAGCCCATCAAAGTCGAAAGTTTTCAACAGAGCTACAGCGCTGTTAATAAATGCATTGCGATGAGCTTGATTCTCGAGAAGATCGAGATAGGGGTTGTAAGATGAGTCGTTGAAGCGATCACGATCACCACCAACAGATAGCAAGATTAAGAGCTGTGGATGATTGCGTCGTAGATTGGTGATGGTGCGGTAGTGATTGCGGCCCACATCCAAATCCTTGTTGATTGGCCGAAGCTGGTAGGTTTCGGGATCGACTCCGGCATAACCATAAACAAGATAATTACAAAATTGTAGAGCTGGCTCGAGATCTTGCAAAGACACTTGTGCGGAACCTTTTCAATGGTAATGGGATACAAATTAGTTTTGTTTGGCATTACACTTATAAACACTGTTTTTGTCACACGAACTTTTTGAAGATTTTTGTATAAATTAATAATTATAATTTTTCAATCACATTCAGATTGTTTGTGATACCCACATATACGCACGTGACCTTATATACATTCCTTTCTTTAAATAACTTCACTTAGGCGATCATTGAAGAGACGGAAAAAGGAAATGCAGAAAAGTCTATAAAGATGTTAAAAAATGACATTTTAGTAGACCCTGAATTTCTTTTCATATTTTGGATCATCATAATTCTGTCGAAGAAGCGTTTGAAAGCGGGAAATTTGACCTCTACATATATATCATATAAAGAATTATATAATATATTGGTAAGCTCATGACTCTCGAAGGTCAGCGAAGCAAAAATTAATGAGGTAATATTCCTATGTCCACAAATACTGCAACGGTGAATGTCCCTTAACCTGATGTGTGCTGTGCGTGACGAACAAGGTGGGAGGTGCCTTCAGAATATTTCCTAAATGGAAAAGCGTTATGAAGGGTAAACACGAAAGTCCTAAATATTTATTGTAAGTTCAGAAAAACAAATTTTCTAAGTGTATTTTTTTTTTGTATTTTTTTCTGGATCTCTCTGCTGTTTGCTTGCATAATATTTTTACTTTAATATAGTAGTATTCTTTGGTGGCCCAAATATATTCAAGATTTAATGCAAGCTTAATTTCAATTATGTTGACCAGTTCTATATTTACAGGCAAGTATCAATACTTGTATTGATATGCAAAAATATATACTTGCTGGTATCTATTTACATATTCACAAGCTCCTTTTTAAATAAAAATCGTAGATAAGTGACTAATATGTAAACAACGCACTGATAACCTAAAGCATTAGATTTGCTCCATGAAAGCAATAATATTATTTTCAAATTGTTCTATTTGTTAATCTCAAATTACGGTATATTCGGTATATTCTTAATAAAATTGACAATGTCTAAAAGCGTTATACTTAAAAAATTTTATAAATTTTTATTTAGTTTTGATATTAATAACTAATATTTGCATGTGCTTGTATTCGAACAAACCTTCTCTGTACTGACTAGATGAGTCATAGTAACAAACCATCTTAGTTGCTTGGAGTGACCCTATGCATAGGGCCGTTAGTAAATAAATCACTTTTAACATTTCCCGTTCAAAAAAGTGTACTGAACACTGCAGACTTAAAACAAACACTGAAATCGTTTGCAAAATTTAATGACGAAAAAGCCATTAGAATGTTCTCAAAAAGATGAGCTTATCAGTGAATTTATTGAATGAATGAAATGATCTTTATGTACATACTAGTGAACATATTTGTAAGTATGGAGTTTTCATATATAATTCGCTATGTATTTATATACCTAGCAAAAAATGTGACGAGTTCGCAGTTGCCAATTTTTCTATTCTAGAAACCGGAACGCATATTTCCTTGCACGAGCACAACTTGATCTGCGCCAACTTCTCCAATTAAGCCGCAAACCCATATGCACATTATATTATATACTCTACAGGGGAAATTATGAAATATTAAGCGACATATTTTTATTTGCAACATATATAAAAGCAACTTCAAAGACAAAAAAATAATAATTTTCTATATGTAAATATGTATGTACACTAATCGACAAAGAAATTGGTACAAAGTTAAAAAAAAAAATTAAAATAAGGCAAAATATACACGTATCTAATAACAGGAGCCTTGTCCAAATATAGCAAAATGTTTTGAGGAAAGTTTTTGAGAAAATTTTTGAAGATATAATTTTTCATTTCTTTGAGTTGTAGTACGGTCAACTTTGAAAATATTTCAATTGAATTTTTAAAAATATTTTATTGAGCAACACCAAATCAATTTTTCATTTCATTATGAATATTCCTTATTATATTATTAAATTTCATAAATAGTTCTGACTTCAAATATTTCTGCATTTAACCTATTTCTTTCGCCCATTCATACATTTTCTAGTTTAATAAAAGTACGTTCTCCAAAGACAGTGGAAGCGGAGTAGCTTCTAATTTACTGCAAAATAATATCCAAAAATCCATAAAAGTCTAACCAATTTCTATTGCATTGCGCTGTTTACTGGGGCTGGGCTCAACTTTATTCTTGAATTGCTGATATTTCAAAATTAATAGAACTATGTTTAACAAAACAAATCTAGCAGCTTCAATTTGCATACCAGGATACTTTTAAAGTGTTTTCTTGCCAGCAATCGGGACAATATGTATCTGTTACACCGAGACTGGGTATTGTTCTAAAACTGTTGGAAGAGTTGCAAAGAAACACTTTACTTCACTTTATATTAGAGATGTTCAACATATAAAACAGAATACTCTCTTTAGAGGCTAGTCGTCAAATTTTTTCACTGTGTTCTACGTCTACAGAACATTTGTGCAGAGAGTAAACTGGCCTCACACTGCTGATAGCGTCTTAATAATAGGCCGCTGTGGATTTACCAGAAACGCCTTGTTTAATGGGGGGCTTCAGTTTAACACTAAGTTTACGAACGTTTCCCATTAGTTGCCGTAACTTTGGTATAAAATCTGTTTCAAGTAATATAAACCTAGTTCTTTCTTACATATACATTTCTACAATATGCTGTGTTTATTATTATGGTTTTTATACATACAGTGACTCACACGTCTAACCGGTTGCGTACAATGGCAACGTTCGCACTATCGAAACATAGAGTAAAATTATTAAATCATATATATTATATATCAAACTAAAGGAAAATGTTTGTACTTTGTTTTCAGGAATTTAAAAATAGTAATAAATTAATTCACAGCGCAAAAATTATTGAAACAACTTGTAATATAAAAAATTTGCTCCACACATTACTATTAATATTTTGTAACATATTCTTCTGCAGATAAAACAGCTTCTAGTCTTCTTGGTATAGAGGTGTGGGAAAACTCTGATTTGTGCTTCGGACCGTTGTCTTGGTAAAATATAAAATTGTCTTTCGATCCCAATGTGACACATGACAGCTTAACATTTTTTTTAAAATGTCAACATATTGTAAGCGATCCATAATATCTTGAACAAAATGAAGCTTGCCTGTCCCTCTAGCCGACGTGCATCCCCAAACTATTACCGACCCACCAAAGTGTTTAAGTGTGACCCTAGTACACGTATGTTTTGGCAAACAAGCTTCGTTGGAAAGCCACCATACAAAACTGCGACCATCAGATCTCTGCAAGTTAAACTTGCTTTCGACTGTAAAAAGAACCTTGATAAAGAAAACGAAATATTCTTATATGACTAACGAATAAAAATTAAGCCATTTCCCCGTTAGGTTTCTATAAACGGAATTTCGCAAAATGTTGCCTTTTCTTTCCGTTTTTTTCGGATATGAATGGGTTTTTTTAATTCTCTACTGTGTAAATCGAAGTTTGTGAGCGTGCGACGAACTGTTTTAGCTGAAACTTTCTCCCCCTTTTCATTATCTAATATATTTTTAATATAATATTTTCCGCAGAGGTAAAGGAATCTCTTTCAATAAATTTACATATAAACTTTTCTTCGACTTCTGTTAGCTTCTTTCCTTGACCAACTCTACTAATATTATTCATCCTATTTTCCTTCTTAAACTTTTTTATAATACCAAAGACAGTTGATGTACTCCTTTTTCCAGTTACCGAAATCTCGTTAAAGGTTTTTCCATATTCCCGTACAAATAGATTTTCTCCCACCTGGTGTAGGTGACATTCTCGTGTGCAAAGGCCTGGTATGTAATACCAGGATTTGAACTCATTACGTTCTGCATGGTACGCGCTCTGCTAGTTCCTCGGACTTTGAACAGAGAGAACGATTTGTTAGCAGAGGCAGATAGGTAGATAAAATGATGCATCTTCTTATTTTAAGAAGTTTGGTATACGTATAAAATAATTTAGAAATCTGTAGAAAAAAGCATAACAAAATTTTAATTAAAATAAACACCACGAGTATTGTGGTATGAGAGTAATGTGCAAATGACCAGGTGCTCTGAACTTTACCGTTGTATCATCAAAGAAATTGCATGCAGAAATGTTGAGTAAATTGTTAATGACTTGTAACAAATCTGTCAACAATTATTAGATTGCAAATTTGCAAATATTATTAAAAATTAAAATATATACCTCAAACCGGGCTTAAATTTCCGAATTCGGACTAAATCAACTATGAATGTTTTTGAAAACTCGTCTAAGTCCACAAAATACAATTACTTTAATTTACAGGAGTTACAGTTCAGGTAAAACTGAGAACCAGCGACCTTGAGCAGCGAATTACAATCTCTCTTTAGCTTCTCATTTAAAATTCGTCATCTATTTCATATCGCTCAAAGCTGTATAGGCCTCCATTTCTTCCTTCAACGGCTACGAGTCGCCAAGCTCATATGTATGTATATATATGTCTACATAATGTCAATGTTCTGTTCCACTAGAATCGAACTGAATATATTCCGATAAAAATATATATTAACAAGAGATATTGATATGAAAAAATATGCTTTGATTTGAAAGCTGTGCAACTTAAATTTATTAAAAAAAACATTTGCAACTAAATGCATAGGTGTACATACATATGTATATACTTTTGTTTCAGTCATGTCAACAACGATTCCCGCCCAATTTCCCATGGAAAAGGTAAGGGAATAAAAAATGTGGGTCAGTGCGATGAAAGACATAGCAAATAGCAACTATGTGAATTCATATACATATGTACTTACACAAGTAGCTGTAAAAACCAACAGTGACTACGTTAAATGCATTATAACAACAAGATTTACTTAAAAGCGCACAAATATGAGTACATACGAGGAGATTAACAAAAGTTCGGTAGTTGGTGACTTTCAATTGGTTTTTGTTAAATGTAAAAATATCAAATTCCTTATTAGCCTTCTTTTCAAATTTTAGAATGGTCGGCTAAAATGGAGACGAGAAAACGCAAAATGACTGAGGATAGGTCAGACGAAATTCCAACCGCCCCTAACAGAAATTCACCAATAGATTTTCCGCGGGTTTCGGCTTAATTTTCAGTCAAAAGAAATATTCAGTGAATGCATGGGGAACGATTGCACCATCTAAATGGTTCCGAAGATTCCAGAACGTACATTTTTCCGTAGAGGTCGAGCTCCGAGATGGTCGATACCAAACTCTTCTACAGATGACGTCCTTGTAGCTCTAGTGAAGTCTAAAGCTGACGAAGACACAAGATTGGCACAAGAAATAATTGCTAATGAATTGAGCTTGAATGTCATGACTGTATCGCAAATATTAAGTAATCACCTGGGATACCCTAAGAAATCTGCTCCATGGGTACCACAAATTTTTAATCAGGCACAAAAAAAAGCTCGAGTGCATTTTGCTCAATTTTTCCTAAACAAATTCGAAGATGGTCAGTCTAGCAATTTTAATAAAGCTGTTACCAAATAACAGTCTATGGTATGGAGCCCAACAGAAGCAAACCCACCCGCAAAATCTTAGCAACAGATCAGAAGTAATGATGTCAGTTTACTTCACCCTATTTAAAATCGTAGCTGCTATTCAACTTGAAAGGGTCAGACGGTAACTTTAAACCGAGGAGTGCTTACCAAAAGTTTTAAGAAATTTGTTTGAAAACAAGAAGAAAGAAAATTTGCAGTGCTACTTTTTACATCATTACAAGGAGCCATCCTACAAAGCTGAAAAAACCTGAATTTTTGGCCAACTCTAGAATCGAAGAAATATTTACAGTACCATATTCTCCAGATTTCAGAATTTAAAAGGAAAGGTCTTTAATAGCAACGAGGAGATAATTAGTGCAGTTAATGCTGAACTTGATCAGCTTAAAAAGCAAGATTTTAAAGACGATTTTCAGAAGTGGATCTAAAGGCTTAAGAAATGCGTTAAAATAAATGGCGATTATAAAAAGAAGATAAAAAAGAACAGAGATTAAGAACAACTTACCGAACTTTTGGTAATTCCCTAGTAAACCCTATTAAGTCATTAGCGTTTGGCGGCAGCGATAATCATGCGGATAGCATTGCGTATTACCACTCGATCATCATAATTTTATTTTTTCAACACTTGCGGGTATATATGTAACATTTTTGGCTTTACCATTGACATTGGTCCACTTCCTGGAGGGAAGAGTAGCTTTCCTGCTCATCTAGGAACCATAAGTAAGATTTCTTCGAATAGGTCAATCTCTGGTTGACT